GGCTGGACACTGGGTGGGGGAAATCAGCTTGTAAAGATAAACAAGCCTCCTTGACAAATAGTTTCTGAGGCAGATTCCGTTATGGAGAAGGCCCAGTGTGACAGTGAGCACCCAATTATCAGACCCAATGGGGTCTCGGATCGCTGCACTGCTGCGATTTCACAGCTTTCACAGATTTTAAGGCCAGAAGGGTTCATTAGGATCATCTAGTCTGAGCTCCTACATAACGCAGACCAGAGAGTCTCACCCAGCGATTCCTGCCTCAGGAGTACATCGACACCGCGTCAGCTGACTTGAGCCAGCCAAGGGTCTTTCAGTGCAGTGTAGACATACGAGCTGCTACACAGGAGACTTATGGACGGATGCTTTGGAGGTGCTCCCCCTGTTTGTCTATGGGGCAGAGGGGAATGAGAAGAACCAGGCGCAGTGTCCACAGTTATACCTGTCCAGCGACTCTAAACATCTCACGGGAGTGATGGAAGAGTAGCAACAGCCACCCTTCCAGCCCACAGAGCACGGGGAAGGAGCTACAGAACCGCAATCTAGCGCTGGTGCATCGCCCCGCCCCGAGCCTCCTGCACGCTTCACCCACCGTAGAGCTCGAGTAGTGAGTTGAAGTAAATTTCACCCTTAAACCTGGGGCGCAAGCTGAGTTACTTGCACCTTCCAGCCAGTAGAAAGGAAACTAGATCTAACTAGGGAGCAGAGAAAGGGAGTCACCTTTTTCCCACACAATGAATAATAGTGCATTTCAATTCTTCACATAACCACCCCGACCCAGCTTAATGAGAAGCAGGAGGACATGGCCAGATTTCATTAATATGGCTGCATGTGTCTGACGACTTGCACACAAGTAAAGTGCCCGAGTCAGCAGAATCATGACTTTGGCCAAAGCAGCGTCTCAGACTTTCAACAGAGAAACAGCTCTGGCTGGGTAGAATAAGACACTTACGCAGTGAGGGAAAGGGCACCTGACAAGCCCCATGCTACAGGCTGATCAGTTAGGCCCGGAACCCCCAAATCTATGAGAAAACAATGGGAGCTGCAAAACTGCCGCACCTCTGAAGCAGGGAACCAAGGACCATGCGTACGTTCTGAGCCCCACCACTCCCACTTTGCTACAGCTATCATGTTCCCCCACCTCCGGAGAAGGTTACTTGTAATAATACACCCAGCTCTCAATTTACATTCCCAACGTTTGCATTTCAGAGACTGTTTACACTTCACACATGCAATGCATGACACTTGTAGAAATCAGCACCACAAGCATCTCGCCCAGAACTGTTCTAACTCAGCTGTCCTGCAAAATTGAAAGAAAATCCCACTTAAGACCATAAGCAAAACAACTGTAATCTCTCTTGGTCACTAGTCCCCGGTCATCTTAGGTTTGGATGGTTGTATTTGCTCCCAACACAACTTCCGATAAACAACCAACTTAGTGAATTACTACTTCAGTTCCCGGTGCAGCCTCACAACTCTGGACCCGAAACACACTAAAAAGAAAAAAAAAAAAAAGTCACATGGGGGAACCCAGACAGTGCTGGGATCTGCCCTAATGCACCACGCCACACTTGGCCTCGTAACAGAGTGCTCCAGTACCAGATTTGACAAAGCCAAGAAAACTGTCCCCAAGCAACCGAGCTGAAGATGAGAAAGTCCTTCTCATTCATGCAGAGGTCACTTTATACAGGAGCAGGATAAAGACATATACCCCAACACTGCAGCCTCCAGTCTATTCAGTCCTTGACATTTTGAGTACATCAAATCATGGTAATACTGAACTAACCCATTGCCCTTCCTCAGCATCTTCCATCTGAGGACTGCAAAGCAGCTTACAGACATTGATGAATTATGCCTCTCAAATCCCGGTGAAGTAAGTGGGGGAAGTATTATCACCCTCATTTCACAGGTAGGGAAACTGAGGCTCAGAAAGGTTAAGTGACTTGCCTGGGATGACAGAGCCAGGAATAGATTCCCTGGGGCGGGGCCTCGGAGGAAGGGGTGATATGGGGGGCAGAGTCATGGTTTGGGCACCGGTGCCCCCTCCCCACTTTTAGGAAGCTTCCACCATTCCTGATGGGGATCTGAGGCAGAGAGATTAAATGACTTTCCCAAGGTCACACATGGAGTCTATGGCAGCACCAGGAGTTAAATCCACATCTCTCAAGTACTCATCCAATACCTTAACTACAAAGCTATCATTCCTCCTCTTCACAGGTTTCCTTCTGAACTTGAGATACCTACTATAAATGTCACTCGTTTCCCGCCCCCCCAAAGATTGTCCATCAGTTCACGATGCAAAGCTTAGTTACAGTTAAGTAAGGCAAAATAAAAGGATGCAACAAAAATGACAGCATTTAAAACGACTCATAGGAAAGTGGAAAGAGAATCATCTCCAGCAGTCCCAGCACACGCCAACCTCACAGTATCTACTGCAGTACTCAGGGACTCCGCATAACTTCCCTTGCTGTAAAAACGTGCAACTCCTGTGTGTGCATCAAGAGGAGATTAAAAGCAGCAGGAATCACCGGTTTAAAATTATGACCCCACCAGAATACACCTTGTAGCATGACTGGTGGAAAAGAGGTTGTTAAAGGTCAAAAAGAGGTTGTTAAAGGTCAATAACCAGACAGATGTTTCAGCAGACCAATTCCAGCTGTGCTCGCTATTACAAAGGCAAGCACATATTTTCAGTACGGAAACACAGTTTATGTTAGCGGTAATTCTTTCTAAAAAGGTCCTTGATAGTAATTAGCTAGTAGTTTCTTATAGCACTGAAGACCCTTAGCTTTTACCTTAACCTATTAATAATATTCAGTGCCTCAAGGCTCGTTTTGCAAACCAAGTACAAATGCATAGTGGATCAAGACATCTTCAAAATATGCACCCCCTAATGTAACACTTTGCACATCCATATCACCTTCCATCCAAGGATCACAAAACTCTTCGTATTTATTACTGAATTAACCCTCTCATAAGATAGACATTGGCATTCCCATTATACAGGGGGGAAAGGAGGTCAGTCTTTCCTCAAGGTCATTCGCTCTTCCATGAGGAAGAGCCAAGAGCAGATTCCCAAACTGCTGACTCTCAGTACTGTGTGGTTTCATCTAGAGCAGTGCTACTCAAAGGGGTGGTCCGCGGATCGGTGCCAGTCCGCAAGCCATCGGCTGCCAGTCTGCTCGCATCTTGGAAAAAAAAATTGCCAGTCCCCCACATCAGATAGCTTGAGAAGCACTGCGCTAGACCAGGCATCCTGCCTGCATGATCATGTCAGAAGCACAGGTTCAGCAGCTAGGAGAATTGCAAACCACACTCATGAAATCCTCAGGGGAAGGGTTGGTCCCAGATTGATCAACAGGGAACCCGACAGGAGTTTAAACAATGGTTTTAAAAATAACATGCAGCCCTGGTGAGTATCTGTAAAAGCACAAGCCCCCAGCGCTTTGAGTTATATTGTCACCCTGGGAATTATTCTTCAAAACACAAAAGAAAAATGAAGTGGAACATGATACAGCTAAGTTTTTAAAGCCAGACAATTGATTGCACCTTGTAATGGCAATGTATCAATGCAATCTGCTATTTAAAAGAGAATCATTAAGCTGGCAGACTGGAATTGAACCTGTACTTATTGAAGTTCTTGTCAGAACCCAAAGTTCTTTCCTCGCCATTGAATATTCGTAACCCGTTCTTTTCCGTGCCACACAAATAATGCATAACGCTAGCAAGAATGGCTGATGACACAGCTTTGTGTAACAGGCCAGAATTTTATAACCCCCCACCCAGCGTTTATCCATTTCATTTTTCTAAATGCAAGTAACACACGAGCCAAACATTCCAACCTGTGTGAACAGACATAAGACACCGCACTTACGGTTAATGTGTATTCCATCCATGCACACACAAAGATGGGTATGTAGCAATTCATTGTGGGATGCTGTGGTCCCAATTCAGTTTTTACTAGGGACTTCAAAGGGAATTTTGTCAGACCAAGGACTGAGCAAAACTCAGTTAAGTCTCTGGATTTAGCCCTATAGCTGTAGCCACATTAGATACAATTAATAAAACAAATAGAATAGAAAGTCATTTCTTTACCACTGAGCACAGTGCCATGAATGTCACCAATATAATTCAGGCCCCATGTAAAAATATTGCAGCCTTACAGAGTATCAGCAGGCAAGCAAGGGAAAAGAGGATTTAGGGCAGCCCAGACCTTTGAGAACCTTTGCCTGGAAGCTCATTCTTCCTGAAACAAACTCCACGAAAACCGATCAACTTCAGAAACTACTGCATCGCCTCCCACCCCGCAAAAGGACCGGACCAGCCCTTTTCCCTCGCCACACAGGGTGAAATGATTGCGACACTAGTTGAGGTTGGAGTTACCTCCTGAGCGTGCACAGGTCAGTCACACTGCTTCCCATACCTCCCCGCTCTTTAAGCCTTACCGGATTTCGGAGGATATCTGTAGACGGAATTAGAAGGGATGTCCACCTCTTCCACCCCGGCGTTCTGCCTGCTGGTCAGCGCCCCCATGGCTGCGCCTTGCAGAGGGGATCCAGGGGCTGGGAGGTGCTGCTGGGCTGGGGGGGAATGCAAGAGCCGGCAATGCAAGCGGGGGAGGAGGAGGGCAGCCTCACAGTGCCCTCAGTCAACCGCACTGGCTGTGCCCCCTGCTCCTTCAGTGGGGCGGCTGCCGCCTTGACTCTCCTGCTGCTGCTGAGCAGGGGACAGGAGCAGCTGCCCTCACTCCCATCCCTTCCTCGCCGGAGCGGAACGCACGGGCTGGGCTGGGGCTAGCGGGGGCCCCTCCTGGAGCACTGCGGCTCACCAGGGGCGGGGGGTGGTGCCTGCATCGCCAGGGCTGAGGATGCCGCCGCCGCTGGAGGGCCGGGAGGCAGCCCCTGCCCGCAGCAGCATCCTCTCCCCCTGCGCCGGCAGCCGCGCCGAGCCGCTGCACGGGGGCTGGGCGCCGCCTTGACGTTAGGGCGGCTCGCCAGCCAATGGAGGCGGGGAGCCGGCAGCTGTCACCGGCCGGGCCGGGCCGGAGCCGCCTGCAGGCAGCTGCACGAGCTCACCCGGCTGCGGCAGCAGCGGCGCCCCAGCTGGGGCAGGGTCTGGGCTCGCGGGGCAGCCAAGCCTGCGGCACGGGTGCCCCGGGGCCAGCGGCAGCCCCAGCCCGGGGAGGGAGGAGCAGCCCCTGCTGCTCAGAGCCAGGCCCTGCAGCCTCGAGCTGGACCCAGAAGCCACCTGCCGGAGGTACCTTCTGGGCATGGAGAAGCGGCGGGGTGGGGGGGCCTCCCGCTCCGGAATTCCCCAGGCTGGGGCTGCGGCCCCTGCTCGCTCCCCTCCCTCTGCTGGGTGACCAGATGTCCCAAATGTATAGGGACAGTCCCGATATTTGGGGCTTTGTCTTATATAGGCGCCTATTGCCCCCCACCCCCGTCCGGATTTTTCACACTTGCTGTCGGGTCACCCTATCCTCTGCGCAAGGGGCGGGAAGGATTCGCTGGACAAGTCTGTTAACCCGGTCTGACCTCCTGCCCCTTCAACAACTCCTCCCCCACTCCCCGGAGGGAGTCCATTAGTGGCACCAAAGGGGCACCCCAGTTGCTTACAGCAACTTCCCTAGCCTGGCTGGGAGCTCACTAGACAGGGGGCTCTTTCCACTGAGGCTAGACTGGTCTTGGAACTCCCTTTAAATGGGCCAAATGTGTCTTTTTTTCGCAGGCAAAACCAGAAGTTGGGCCCCAGCCCAGCCAGTTGTTCCCCGCCCATGGACTGCACTGGAGATCCACCCGCAGAGCTCAGTGCAGGATCAGGGTCCCAGTACCTTGCTGATTATACTTGAAAACCCAGGCCCAGAGCCACAAAGGTACGTCAGCCCTTAAGTCTGGGCTTTAGGGGCCTACGCCCCAGCTTTGGCCACTGAACTCCCACCAAACCCTGTAGGCGGCTGCACGCGCTCAGCTCCTCAGCACCCTGCATTTCTGCCTGGGGGCCAGTGCACTGCCTCTCTCTAGCATCCAGACACCTGTCTCCACCTAACCCCAGAGCAATTCAAAACCCGGGGGAAGACAAACGCCTAAATCGCACACTGGGTCCAATCCGGTCGGCGTGCTCAGGGGCCGCCTATGGGATCGGAGCCCATTCAAAATCCTGCCAGAGGAGAAGCTGCTGCCACCCACGGTATAACTTCCAGTCCAGTGGTTAAAGCATTCATCCATGGCAGAGAGGGAGAAAGGATTTGAACAGGGGTCTCCCACCTAAGCTGTCTGACTCCAGGCGGCCAAGCAGGGATAGGCATCTCCCTGCAGCCTGGATTTAGGCGCCTGTTTCCAAGAGCGGGGCAAGGCTTAGAACATACCGCTCTCGTGGGCATCTCCCATGGGGCACTTAGGTGGCTCTCCCCATTCATTGTATAAGGAGCCTGGACACCTAACTCAGCTTTGGGGACCGCGCCTAAAAGTTAGGCATCATGCCGCTTAGTGTTGCAATGCCAAAGTCCCTTCATAGATACCCCCCCAGAGGCACCGTCTGTTCTGTACAGACATGGTAAACCAGTGGCTCTTTTTTTAAGTGTAGATGTTTTACCTCATTTCCCCACCTACCTCCTTGTTTGCGTTGTACTGTGAAGTGGTTGTCAGGCTCCACCCCAGAAGTGGCTGCATATCATTGGTACTCCCCATATAGCAGCTGAGAGGAAAGATATTATATAAATGTGAAATTATTATTATTTATCCTCAGACACCCTCTTAATGCTTCCTGGAGTTCCCATACATACAAACACACTTTTCTCCAAACTACTTGAGTATCTGCTCCAGAACAAGGTTCCATGGGAATATGATGCCATTTTTAAAATATCATTGTTCTGACCTATTTTCATATATAAATGTTGGAGAACAGAAACTTCTTTAAAAATGCTAGAAATTAATCAATCCTGCAATGCAAGTTAATGGAGGATCACATGAATTTACTTTAAGTTGATATCACAATTGCTACAAATACTAAATCAGAGAGGCATGTATGAAATCAGATAAATGACCACTTTGCCCTAAGATGTGTATTCGGTAATGAATGAAACTTCTAATGGCTTTTCTCTGCTCCATAGGTTCCACATTTCTTTCATTTAGAACTTCCTGTTTCTCTGAAGGATCAGGAAATTAGTGCAAACACCCAAAGCTCTAAACATATTAAATGCTGGATGTGTTTCATGTCAAACAATTGCTTTTGATTCTCTTATAAAGAATACATGCAGCATTGCCAACCGGAAAATCATGACTCAGGCCCTCAAAAATAATGAGATTTTACAAAGACAATAACTTTGGGTTCCTTTTACTTGCCTTCTGGTTTTTGAACCTTTGGGGTACACTCAGGTCTCATTTTCAAGCTTTTTTTCTGAAGCTCTGGAGGTTAGAAACATACTTTTTTCTTTTCTTTTTTTTTTTAATGGAAGCTGAGAGTCTCACATATTCACATGACTCCAGGAGCCGGAGCTTTAAGAAAAGCACCCCCAAAAAATGAGACTAGCAATCACATCCAAGAGCTGACAACACTGATTCAATGCCTGGCACTGCAGTTCATGCAGATCAGACACTGCCACAAGAATTTTGCTCCCATGCAGATTGCAGGACTGGCCTTTTGAGCACTCTGAATGCATCCGATGAAGAGAGCTGTAGCTCACGAAAGCTCATGCTCAAATAAATTTGTTAGTCTCTAAGGTGCCACAAGTACTCCTGTTCTTTTTGCGAATACAGACTAACATGGCTGCTACTCTGAAACCTATATTATTTTAGTTCACTTTATTTATCCCTGCAGCTTGCATGTTCATTTTACAAGCAACAATTTCTCCATCCCACCCACTCCTTTTCCCCCATGTTGACACACTTTCTTACATCTGTGTGCCAAACAGAGCCTTAGGCCCTAATCCTGCAGAAGGTCTGGAGGAGCAGACCCCCTGCACTTGCATGGAGTCCCAATTATGTCAGTGGGGAAATCTGCCCACCCAGACCTTACAGCAGGACTGAAGGCTTGTATTTCACTTTCCAGCAAACCTATGCCTCCTTCTTTTCATATCTGTTGAGCTCCAATATTATTATTTCATGGGCTAGCTATCCTCTCTTTTGATCCCTTTACAAAAACGATAAGAGATGGAGGATGGTATGAAGGTTGCTGAGGATACATTCAGTTACATGGTGTTCAGTGTTTTTGGTGGCTGAACACTATAATTGGTCTTTGTATCACATTTATTCTCTTGACACGCCAATTGCATTTATATAGAAAATGGTTGGCAAGTATTTCTGGAACAAATACCCATATCTGCACACAAAAAAGCTCATCCTTAAATATTAGTGCAAACAGAAGACTGTCCTGTGAAAGTCTGCAGAAAAGGAGACAGCATGGATGGATCAAATCACAAGTCAGATTTCACATGCATGTTTGAATTCTTTTGCAGCCATTCATCCAGCTCTAGTCCTGATGCTGAGCCCTCACCAAGCAACTGTAACCTGGCAGCCAAGGGTAGGTTTGAGCAAATTACAGGTTAAAGGCAAATGTTAAACTTAAGACACATTTTGCATCTGTTTTTTCCAGAATAAAACTTCATAGATTTTAGGGAATAAAAGCAAAACTAAGATTGACAGACAATGTAACATTGGCAATTGACATCATCACTAAAAGAAATGGAAGAGTACGAATTGATAACTTACGGTTTTCTTTTCTGTGTACCACACCTTTAAGGTTAACCAATTTATTTGAGCATAAGCTTTCGTGAGCTACAGCTCACTTCATCAGATGCATACTGTGGAAAGTGTAGAAGATCTTTTTATATACACACAAAGCATGAAAAAACACCTCCCCCCACCCCACTCTCCTGCTATATAATTATCATACACATTGTAAGGAGAGTGATCACTTTAGATAAGCTATTACCAGCAGGAGAGTGGGGTGGGGGGAGGTGTTTTTTCATGCTTTGTGTGTATATAAAAAGATCTTCTACACTTTCCACAGTATGCGTCCGATGAAGTGAGCTGTAGCTCACGAAAGCTTATGCTCAAATAAATTGGTTAGTCTCTAAGGTGCCACAAGTACTCCTTTTCTTTTTGCGAATACAGACTAACACGGCTGTTACTCTGAAACTTTTAAGGTTGCTAGTAGTCTGCTGTCTGCAAAGGCCCCTGACATTTTGTGAGGCTAAACTGACAGTGTGTTATGGAGCCAGAGACGCACAACAAACTCCACTGTCTAACCGGGACTTTGCTTTTATTCCTCAGTCTTTGTAAACATCATTTAGTCTAGAAATACAGTCTGTGGCTGGGGATGGAAAACACAGCAGAAGTTATATACTCTATATAGGGCCCAATTCTGCAAACCACTAGTAAACTCAATGGGAGTTCGACACAGTTTGTTCTGCATAGTCAGATCCCTGCCTTTCAAGCCCCACTGAAGTCAATGAAGTCCAGCTGTGCAGAGCAAGGTGCAGGAGCAAGGGTAAGAGAGGCTTGTGGGATCAGGCCCATGCAGCTAGAGATGGTCTGATCCAAAACTCCGTATCCAAACCTACCTGAATTTTGGGGAAGAGGGTCAGAATTCAAACCTGGATCCAAATTTCACAGCTGGGGTGAACTAAGCACGCTGGATCTGCACAGCTTTCAGCTTTGGCAGGTGCAAATGCCAGAGGTGGGTCTGAATTTCAGTGCTCAGGATCCATCTCCATATTCACTTCTGCATAGAGAAAACCCCAGGGAAGTATAAACATGGGCACGGGAGAAACATGGGGGAGAAAGAGCCAGCACATTTCATTAGAATGAATCCCATTAAACAGACTGCAGGATTTTACAGCAGACAATAATTCAAAGTTACACCCACAAAGAGCCATAAAACACCAGTCATTATGCCCAGTGTTGAAGTTTTACGGTGTCGTACTGCAGTGTAGTATTTTATGGTGCAGTGCCGTAGTGGAGGAATGTTGTTCAAGAATATTGCTACGGGAGGATCTGAGTCTAGGTCTTTTTTTTTTCCTTTCGAAGCATTGCTTGCAGAATTTAAATACTGTATCTCGTCAGGCAAAACACTGACAGCCAAAACAAAGTCAAGGCAGATATAGCTGGGCCAACATACAAGGCTCAATGTCTCCAGTTTGGGGAGGCGGGGGGAATGGAAGAGAGACAGGCAGTGTTTAGACTGACTCTGCATCTGTTGTGCAAGACCCGAGGGCTGAAGCACTAAGCCTATTCATCTAGTAGCTTAGGAAGCCAGAGTATTCATTAAAGGGGGCGATTGCCAAGAACTGTAATCCTGCTAGCATATCTGTACTCTCTACTGCATCCTTCTTGCCTGGAGTTCCTGCTTTAAAATCTAATCTGACCCTCACTCAGCTGCACTCACTGCAGGGAAGCAGCAGTAAGTGCAAAGTATTAGTTGCTGACATCACCCAGCTTAATAATCATACAGCTGCCGCTCCGGCCTCATGAAGTGGACACACAGGAGGGCAAAACAGCACAGCATCTGGCCTGCCAGGAGTCACAGATGAAGGCTGTAGGGAAACGCTGGCCTGGATCGTGCCATCAGTATCAAGTGGAACCCCTCACTGGAGTGAGCAGTGAGTTCTATTAATGGCATGACAGGACCCTCGGCTGCACAATAAAATACTCTTTTGAATGACTGTTTGGCTGGTATCATTTAGCGATCTCTAAGGAAGGAGTTTCAAGGGGCAATGCAGAATGTTCTGCTAGGACCCACCCAGTCCTGCACTCCTCACCCACACAAAATTCCCCCATTGCATCAATGACTAGCCAGCAGAGAATCAGGCCCTTAAATGTAAACAATACTAAAATTAAATGTAAGGGATTCTGATGCTTGAGAGTAGTGCTGGACAATGAAGCGATTCTTCCACATGGATTAATACTTTGTGATTTTTGCATGAAAATAACTAAGCACGTTACACAGGCAGGTAAATATCATAACCGTCATTTTACTGATGGGAAAACCCAGGCACAGAGACAAAGTCACTTGCCTAAGCTGGGGAAAAGTTCAGATCTCCCAAGTCTAGTAGACCCTGCTGCCTCCACTGAGGTCAATAGGCCTACTCCAGGGAGTAAGATGATGAGAATTTGGCCTTGTGTCCATACATCTAATGCACTGTCAGTTCCCTCTCTAACGCTTCAGTGGTGACTGGCATACGCTACCTTCGCGGACAGTTTATCCCAGAGTACCCTTCCCTTCATTGTCTCTGACCCAAGCTCTCTCCTGTAGGAGATAAAGCTTTCCAGATGGCCTTTTGGCTAAGATCTTGCACTCTATCAGTGGCACATTTGACATGTCCTCTGTCAGGAGCCTGTGTGCTGCTCTCACAAGGGGGACGGGCTTAGCTATCTAGGTCAGTAGCTCTTTTTCATCCCTATCTACTGTTTGTTCCATGACCTTCCTTTTTATCTTGCGCTGATTGAAATTGCCATTGGGTTTCTTTGACTCTGTCCTTTCCTGGGTCTCCTCCTACCACCTTGACTGCTCTTTCAGCAAGTCCTCTTGCTCCTCTGCCCATCCCCTTCTGTGCTGATGTTTCCCCACAGATCTGTCCTTAGACCTCTCCTTCTCCACCTCTCTCCTCATGACCTCCCATGGTCTCTCTCATCACCTCTGTGTCCGTGACTGTTGGATCTCTCTCCCCACCCCAGCTCTTCCAGTCTCTTCAACGTACCTACTTGTGAATGTCACACCACAGCCTTAAACGAGCCCTGGATTAAGTGGATTGTCTCATTTTTCCTATTCTACACTCTCCCCTTTCACCAGGGACAACTCCAGTCCCTTTCTCATGACTCAGACTCAGGCTTATCTTTGACTCCTCCCTTTCTTTCTTTCTCTGGATCCAGGATCTTGCCAAATTCTGCCTGATAACACTTCTAAAACCTGCCCCATCCTCTCCAGTCCCTCTGCGAGAACTGTGGTTCTCTTTAACCTGCACCAACAGAACCGCCCTCTTTCTAAACATTCCCCCCACCCCCAGCTTCCCACCTCTCCCCCTTCAATCAACTGAATAGTGAGCAGCTCACTTCATCGGCTTCCCGGACTGCCTACCTAAGTCCCTTCACCGGCTCCCTCTCTCTTCTCACAGAATGGAAGCCGTTCACGCTCATTTCTAAGGCTTTACACATAACTACATCTCACCTCCCACTGGAAGAAGGGAAACCGAGACTCTCACTCCAGATTCAGGCATTGGAGGGAGCCACATATCACTCAACTACCGCCCGGGCCTAACGAGTGAAGACACAGGGGGGAGGGGAGGTTTGAGGAACAGTAAGAGGCCACTCTAGTCTCCTCTAGGTTTTTCACCAAGCAGCCAACAGTCAAATAAACATAGAGGCCTTGTGCTAAACAGCGAACAGCCAGAGATCCCTGAATGGTCCCTTCCTTACCCACCGTAGCAACCTGCATGGACCGTGGGGCACCAATTGCAGGAGGCACACCAAGTCTGTCTCCCTTCATGTGGCTAGAACATTCACTGTAGTTGTTACAGCACGGCTGTAAATAGTTCTCGTAATAAAGAGCCAGTTTAGTTTGATAAGCATGGAGCCCTTTCAAGTTATTACCCAGCCCGTGATACGTGGAACACCCACTATGCCTACAAAGAGTTCATAGACTGGGATTAGTCTACCCGCATCCTTCCCACCAAGTGGAGTTCCAGTTTTCTCTCTGCCTGAAACTGCCCATAGTTACACTTGCCTCTACCTTTTAATTACCAGCCCTTCCACTGCTTATTGATTACCACTGGAAGGTCCTCTGTCCACCACTGTGGCAGGTGTTGCATGGTTGTCTTAATAAATGTCCTGGATTCAGGACAATTTGTTAATCAATCCCTTCCTGCTCAGGCCAAGGTTAGAGTCTATGCACTCCATCAAAATTGCCCATGGAAACTTTATTCACTTTTCACCTCGGTAATATTGCTCATGCCACTGAAGATTTGAGATTTTAAGGGATCAATAATCGGATCAATAATCTGACTGAGAAGCTCAGATTCTTTTGGACAGTGGAGCTACAAAACACTTAATGTCTGATGATTTTGCTGGCCTCTCTCATCTAACAATGGAAAGGGTGAATGCAAGTAAACAAGCAAAATTGATTAATGAGCCTATTGTGGCATGCAAAAGCATCCCCCATACAGACTAAGCAGTGTAGTGGAGCTGGGGAATCTTTTTCTAGCGAACCCTAGGATGTATGGAGACTGATGTTGAATCCAGTGAAACCACTGGGTCTTCTACCACTGCTTTAACGGGAGAAAGATTGGGCCCATGCTGGATCGCTTTGTCAGTCCTGGCTAACACAATGTCAAGGCAAAACAGGCTAGCTGTATAACGCTGTCCAGGTGCGCACCCAAGACTAGTTACACCAACAACTTGTGCCCTCATCCAACAACCCAGACATCGTTTTGCCTATGCAAGGAAAAAAACCTAG